ATTTTACGGTGATAATCTTGTTTTCCTGTGCCCAATAATGCATAATTTCATTTGATAAACACGTTTAGATTGAATGGTAATTTATAATCAGTCACAAGAACGTCGAATCTGAATCACTTGAAAAAAACACGGGGGTGCTTAACTTTTTTCCAGGTGTATATATATGTATAGAGAAACATTTGTGCTTATATAAATAGATGTTCTAACCATGACTAGGTTTATTATATCCCAACTGACCTGATGAGCTCTGGATTGAGCGAAGCTCATCATCAGTAATGGACAGGATGAACATAACATGATTGAAATACTATTAATATACTTTCAGTTCTAGAAAATACCCAAAGGAGTAAATAAGGAATGCAGTGTTAAAAAACATAACAGATCTAATAGTAAAGTTACATGACACGTATAGTTAAATACAATCACACCTTGTCAGCTTGGAAGAGGTATTCACACCACAGCATAACATACTTCATCTGATTACCATGGGTATGCTCTTTCTCACACTGCAACAAACTTATACAAAGGACAATGACGCCATTCTTAGACAAAACATATTGACAAATTTTCCACAGATCCTCTACTTTAGTTTCCAAGACAATGGGTCATGACAGCTATATCGTAAGATGGTTTTGCTGTAACTCCAGTCATCTTTCTCATGAAAATAGACACTGATTTTGTAGTGTCACATATTTATGATCTTGTTAATGGCATCAAAAGATATATCCAACTTCATCACAACAACTTTTTAGATCGAAGGGTTCATTTTAATAATCTTTGTTTAACAATCTTACTACAAGTGGGAGCCACATATTACATCATATTAAGCAGTTTTGGACTTTTGCTTGTCACAACACTGAATGTAATGAGCTCACCAAAATAATATAGTGAAATTTTATGTAAGATAAATAGGGAACCACTACAGTAATTAGTGCAATTAAATGCAATTTTTACTTTGAGTGACTCGCATGTTATTAGGGATTCTGTAATGACCAAAGTCGTGGGTCCATAACAGTTTAGAAAATGTGTTGAAAAAGCTGATAAGGGTCCATATGAATCTCACTGGTAATTTTAGGTTTAAGTAAGTTAAAAAATAACAAAACTATCAGTATCCCAAAACAACCTAACTTTGGTTTTCTTCAACTGATCTTTAGAATAGAAGAAGTATATATATTTATTATTTCCCACCATAAAGAAAAAATTATATATGATATTCACCGATAACAGTAACTATGGCAAAAATTAATACCATGACTGGCATTTTATTTTTACTTTATCCTAGATTGTCAAATCTCTCTGATCTTATATTCCTTTACTATGTGTCTGGATACTTTGGTTTGGCTATCGTATTGTATAAGAGCGACTTTGAAATTTATCTAATATGGTGGCCCATATCTTCCATAAACAAATATAAAATATGATGACATCTAGCAAAAAATAAATTTGTATACAGTAACATTTTGTTACTGAGAACATAGTCAATCTAAACATTATGTTGAGTTCAGGTTAGCTCTAGACATACATATAATTAATTCTATCATATATTGTCTTGTTATTGTCTGTATTATATAAAACAAATTTTAATGGCAACATACTACTTAACTATTTTGCTTCTTGATAGATTTTTGGTACATGTTAGCAGAAGTCACAGGAATTT